GCGTGTCCAATAGAGTTTCCCACGCAGGTCGCGCGCGGCGGTGATCTCCTCTGGCGCGGCGGGTAGTTCGGGGTTCTTGCCGCGCCCCCGCGGGGGACTGATCGGTCGGGCTCGTTCTGCTAGATACCTCGCCATGGAGATCATGAAATCGAAATTCTTGCGTTGTCGCAGCGTGAACCTGCCTGAGGCAAGTGCTATGAGGACAGATGCTTGTCTGCAACGCACTGGCGGATATCATGTTAGAAGCAGCTTTGCGATGCAAGAGAATGCGGCCAATCGTTTTCTCGTCCAATTACGAACAGATGACGGTCCAGACCGCGAATCCGGAATGACTCCGGCAGTGCCATCTGCGTGGATGGCCTCTGTCATCCGCTAATTAGGCAGATCGTCTGCAAATGGGGAGCCGGCAGGTTGGGTCGGATCGAAGAGAGCGCCGCGGGGTTCCTGATGCACCCGGACATGCGCCCCGCGACCATTGAAAACATCTTCTGCCCACGAATCCATCAGATGTCGCGCTCCTCCACGATCGTCTCGAAACCGCCTCCGTCCACGATGTTCTCGCGCATCTCGCGCTCGGCCGCGCGCGTGGCCAGGCGTCGGAGTTGTCGATGCGATGCTGGGTCGCCCGACTCGCGAGTCCTCGCGCGCCGCTCGCATCGCCGCAAGTCCATATCGTGGATCTCCTTGATGGCGCAGCCCGCAAACCTCCCGAACGTCGCTCGTTCCACGCGCTGCGGGGCGCCAGTGCTGATGAAGCCGTCAACCGGGGGGGCCTCGTCCAGCGCGTCTGGCAGTCGTCGCGCGCCCAACGCAAGGTCTTGTTGCTGCTTCGATGGCGCATGACCTTCCCGGGGTGCGCGCGCAGGGGCTGGTCGGTCTGGTGCCCGAGCCGTCGGCCTCCAGCCCCCGCCCTGCTGATCTTCGGAAGCTGGGGGAAGGGTTGCGGGTCGCGAGGGCGGCGCGCGGCGGATGCAGCCTCTAGATCCAGGCCCCTGGCGCCCCCGACCAGGTTCTTGCGCGCGTCGGCCCCTATGCGGGCCCCCGCGCGGCGCTTCGTGGCCACGCGGTCCAGAGTGGATAACACCTTCCGACATAACTGCTTCCATTTCCACGTCCGCTTCTCCGGGGTCGTCGCGGGCGGACCGGGCCTCGTCGGAGGTTCCGGCTAGGGCACATTCATGGCGAGAATGCGCTCCGCGCGGCTCAGCGTTGCACGGGGCGTCGGGGGAGCAGGCAGTGGGCTGGGAAAGACAAGCGCGAGCGGAGGCGCCTGCGGATTCGCAGAGAACGCGACGCCCCCAGTCTCAACCGCTCGGTAGCGCCTCGAAGTCTTCGGAGAGACTGTTCTGATTTTCTTCCTTCTTTGCCAACCTCACTCGGGAAAACCAAACGCATTGATCGCAATGCGTCTGCCTGCCCCGAACTCATGCACTCTCGACTGGCTGCCGTCGAATGACTCCCAAGTGATGGCGCCGCCTGGTGAATCCAGAGCCACGCCGAGCTGTCTGAGCACCCCGCTGGGAGTAATAGGGGCGCGCCACAGGCGATCAGATGCACCGCAAGAGTGCCGCTGTTCTTTACCACGGCGATCGGTCGTGTCCAGCTAGAAATGAACTTGGTAGATCCCCCAGCGCCCATCGCACCTATTTCCGCGGGGGGTATCTGCGCGGGTTTCAAACCGTAAATGCCCCCAAGATATGTCAACATGTAATCGAATTTGTCTGCGCCGCGCACTCCGCGCTGAGCTCCAGCATCCGCCATGCCGAAACCCATGTGAACCTGAAGTCCGATGAAAACCGGAACTCCAGCGTCGGCAATAGCAAAGATGGGAGAAGTGACGGAACTGACTCCAGACAAGATCGCAGGTCCCCGTCGGCAAACGCCATGGCGAGCATCGTCTGCTTCGAGGGGAACTGCATGGAAGCCGCCGAAGCCTGCTTATCGCTCGCGCCCTCGCTCGTCGGGCTCGCCCGCGCAGTCTCGAGCCCAATGCTCCATCTTCTCGCGTCGGGCGCACTTCGAGCGGCTCATCAACCTACTTTTGGCCCACCGCTTCGGTCGGGCATGTCCCGAGCGTTTCCCTCGAAGATTTCCTTTTTGGGGGTGCTGTTTGAAAAGTCCTCGCCCAAGCGTCCGTTCGTGCAAGTGCTGTCTCACCTGACTGCAATTCCCGTGCAATGCGATGGCTCCATCTCCTTCCGGAACCACGTCGTCGGGCAAGTCCCCAGCTACGAAGAGTACATCGTCATCGTCCATGTACCTGATGGCCTCATCCATGAACTCCTCTTCCTCGTAGGCCTCGGGCAAAGTAAGCAGAACTGTTGCATGATAATCCAATGGGCTTCGTCGCGGTCCGACTCCTGTTCCTCGCGTCCGTCATCACCTCCCTGGTATCACACAAAAAGCGAGGAGGAACTCACGCCATGGATGCGATGGCCGCCTTTGCCAGAAGGTTCTGGTCGCTCAAGCGTCCGAAGCTTTACGCACGCCGGATCAAAATCGCATGATCCTTCTGCCCAGTGCTCAAACGCATCTCAAGCAGCGTCGTTAAGCTTGGTCTCTCTCAGAATAACGCGACCTTTCAAGTCCTCCGGCAGGGTCATGTGCAGATCGTGTTCTCGGAAGAGCACGCGCTTGCACGCGATATAACTTACCAAAGATTCCACTCGCTGACGCTTGGTGTCTTCTGACTTGAAAAGCTTATCAAAAGCCTTCGGCACCCTGCGGTCCTGGTACTCGGCAAAAGCCTTATGGACGTGTTTCATCACGACCTGCCCGCCGTCCTCGGCAGACACTTGGCCCTGCGTGCGTTCGTTAATCATGATGTTGAAGTCGTCTTTGGCATTGCGGTAGATGAGGTACCCACGCTGCGTTTTCAAAGTTCTGGTGGTAGCGAACCACATTTGCAAATCCTTCATGTGGGGGCCGAGGCGAATATCCAGATTTTTCCGTCCCAACTGAGAGGTAGGTCGTGTGGCATCTTTGGAGCCTCCGATTGTTCAGGAAAGTGTCCTCGTTGGTGATCAGAAGACCGGGCGGTGGCATCTCCCCGATAGGTCGGAGGAAAAATAAAAGGCATAGCCTGTCCTCGAAGAGGCGTGTCCTGCCGATCTGGTGCAGTCGGCGAACCATGTCCCCGCCCAGTCCAAGCCGATGAGGATTGTTGCGTATTGGGCTGTGTGTCCGTCGCTGGCTGTGATGACCAGCGGGCCTATTCCTAATATGACCAGCCCACATCGCCATCACCTTCCCAAGGAACGTGTCGTCGTCCTCCAGCTCCTGCTAAAGGATCCTGCTCCGATTGTAAACAAGGACCTGCTGGAAATTATTTTTTTTGACGCTGAGCGTCGCCAGGAAGATTCATGGTGGCCCTCGGTGCAGGGGGTAGGGAGCGGGAGGAACGGGAGAAAAAAAATGTAGAGGTCACCCGAGAATCGAATGACAGGGCAGTCATCCTGAACCCCCTCGCGGATCTCAGCCACAAGCTCCGCTGCAACTGTGGATTGTACGGGTGTGGTTGGATATAGCAAGACACGAGGTACAACTGGGGGAGGGGGCGTGTTAGAAGAGAGCACGTTCTCTTTCCGTGTGCGGAGGCGTGGGCGCGTCCGTTACCGGCGCGCCATGATAATTCAAGGGCCCCTGTGAGCCGATATGGCGGCGCACAAGGGAATACAGAGAGACGCGAAGGAGGAGGAGAGGCTGACAGGGGCTTTGCAACCACAATGTGGTTCTCGCCTTATCGCCGCGCACACGCGATCTAAACAGTTTCAATGGTTTCGCCGCTAGAGGGCGGGTCGTTTTCAAAATGTGGCGTTCGCCTTATCGCCATGCGCACTCGTCCTAAGCATGTGCAAGGGCTTCACGGATTGAGGGCGACTCCTGTTCAAAATTTGGTTCGCGCCTTGCCGCCGCGTGCGCTCGTCTTAAACAATGGAAGAACAGCTCACGGGCTCCAATGGTTAGCGTACCAGCAACGGTGTTTGGGAGCGACTCAGGATTGCCAAGACGCAGCAATTACGTTTATTCGCCGTGCTAATAGCCCAGGAATTGTCTTCTGTCACCGTTCAGGATCGGCAGGACGCAACAGTCAAATCGTTGCGTGGCGTCGGAGTCTCGAGAGCGGTGTTTGGGCGCACTCAGTGGAAATGACTCCTGGTAGGCGCCTGTGAGGAAGGAGCTTGGGGGAAGGTTGCTTTCCATCGTCGTTGATGGGTCTTGGGTTTGCACTGGTCATCTTCCTCCTCCTCATCCTCCTCCGGCTCGTCTACACCCGCATCCCCTTCCTCCACACCCTCCTCCCCCTACTCCTCCTCCTCCTCCTCCTCCTCCTCCTCCTCCTCCTCCTCCTCCTTCACCTCCTCCACCTTCTCCCCCTCCTCTGTCCTCCTTTACCTCATCCTCCACCTCCACTTCCTCCTCATCCTCCTCCCTTTCTCCTCTACTTCTGCTCCACTTCTTCGTCCTCGAGGCCGTCGTCCTCCTCCTCTTCTTTTCTGCATTGCTGTTCGCTGGCGTTATGCTGCGTTCTTCTCCTCCTGCAACCCCTCCCCTTCCTCCTTCCCTGCCCCTCCCAAAAAGGAGAGGCCGGATGTTTCTCGGAAGGCCTGCTGGGAGGCGGGAGGGCTTCTGAGAGCCCCCCCCCCAGCCGCTCCCGAGGCCGCCCCCCCTAGGGCGTCACGCCGCTCTCCCTACGCCGCCGTCAAGGAGCGCCCCCTTTTCCCCCGCAAGGCCGCTCCAGACGGGCCCCCCCGCCGCTCCGGAGGCCGCCCCGCGGGGCGTCACCCCGCTCTGCCTATGCCGCCGTCAAGGAGCGCCCCCTTCTCCCCCGAAGGGCCGCTCCAGGCGGTTCCCCAGGCCCCTCCGGGGGGGCTCCTCCTGGCCAGTTCTGCGAGCCGCGTCCCGGGCGGTGGCGACGCGAGCCCTCAGGGAGCGTACAGAGTCTCGGAACGACGACGTCGTCGTCGGCACCGCGGGCGTCGCCGAAGAGGAGTCGACTC